CCCCAAAACCCCAAAACCCCAAAACCCCGTGAATAAAAAGAAAGCTGTCATATCGAGAAATAAATATAATACTGATAAAATATATAAATAAAAGCAAGAAATTATGCTACAATAACATAAGCAATCAAAAAAATATAATTTTATTTAGTAATTTGCTTAAATGAAGTAAAATCGGTTGAATTCCCATTCAAAAACTGTTATAAGTCCTTCACTAGATAGATAAGTACAAGGTAAAAAGAGTCAAGAACTGAAGATGTCAATAGCTCCCTATTCTCAGACTCAGAACTACTTCTCTTATAACTCATCTCCAGCCGTAAATATTTAATAGATATGCCATAATTTATGTTCGCAATCTTATTTTGGTATTAATGATTTTATAGAGAATTTTGCTATCTTAGGGGAAAGATGAGAACAGTAAGATGTACTCTCTTGAGGATTACCTGCTTAAGGAAAAGCACAAGAAGTCGTTTCTATCTTCTTAAACTACTGTTAAGAGGTACTATGTGCTAGATTTCTCAACTCAAAGCCTTTACTACAAAACAACTAAAAAGTCAATGGATTGCAAATTAGTGTCGTCATTTAAGGTATGTTTAAAAAAGAAAATTCGATATCTAAATTTATCATTAATGCCTCCCTAAAATAAATGTATAGTACTTCAAGCAAGTGAGTAAGATAGTGCATTCAAATATGGCTGTTGTCAAGAAGTATCCCTATGCTATGAGACTTGACACTAACAAGCAAACAAATATTTTGTACTTTGAGACTTAGGAAAAATTAAACAGATGGATTAATATGATAAATTTAGTCATTGATGATCAAAAGACGAGGAGTTTAATCAAGAGCTTCAGAGATCGAAAGTCGTTTGAGAATTCTGTAGTGTATTTCAACACTTTTGAGCAGCAGCTAGACTAAGGAGGTGCAATTGCCAAATAGACGGTTGAAGAAGAACAGATTATTAAAAAAGTTCATTAAACATCTAAGCAGTTAGAGAAAAGCAAAGAACTTCAAGTAATTCCAGAGCGAGAGAAAAGTATAAATAACTTTGGCTCTGTTAATACTTAGAGTCAGAATCAGTACTTAAATCAAGATCAGAGCAGGTCAATCAATCAAGTGCAGTTAAACTGGCCTAAGCATAATGATATTATTTTGGAATTGCCGAATACAAGCAGACACAAAGTCAGTGAGCAGTTTAGTTTTAAAGAGGATGTAAATTTCATGAACCTCAAGGGCTCAAACATTCAAAAATCAGCTAGGTTCTCAGTCGATAGTCAGGGGAGCAGAGCTAGCAGCCTTCCTAGTGAAAGAAGTGATGAGGTGCCATCCGAGAACAAGCCTTCTCTCTAAGTTTAGAATTTAGACACAGTATTTTTATCTCCGACAAGAACCACTAACACAAACAGAAGATAAAACAGTGATCTCGGAGAAAACATCGATCAGTCAATACAGGACATATCAATCATTAACACTTAGAACTCTGAGATTTGGAGAGTAGACACCTCAATGTGTGCCAATCATGACCTCATGTCTTTCCAACTTAGTAGGATATGCAATTAGTCAGTGCATGGAGGCATTAGAGGCAAGAACTTCGTCAGCTAGAATACAACTTAATAGACTAAGCAAAAAAGTAAAAATATGTTCTCTACTGGATAAATTAAATACAAGCCTTTGTAAAAACGAGATGAATTGAAAGCTAGAATTGGAAAGGTATTTGGCAGTCCTCTAAGTACAAAAGGCCTTTTAGTCAAATCAATTAATGTAAATAAGCTTCCTTCGTTTAGAGCAGACGATGAGACGAAGTATCCCTTGTCTTTCGAAGGGAGAAATAACTCAAAGTACAGTTATAATTCAAAACCTATAGATCGCAAAAAGCAGCCCAAAGTAATCCACATTAACAAATTTTCATGCATGAATTGCAATATTGACGTCTGAGAATATGATGATATAGATTGAGATAAATTGATTGCTTGAGATATGAGAATATTGACCAGTCACATTTTCCTAATTGCGAACATCATCATAATGATCTTAGCTAAGTTGTAAATTAAAGTTGATTTAATTTCTATATGATTGTTAAAACTTTATGTTATTAATTGCTTTAATAATAGTTAATATCAATGGATAAATCACCAAAGTCAAAAGCTACTGGCTCTTAACTTAGATCTCAGAAGACCACTACGGTGGGCTCACAGATGATTACACTTAGATCCAAAGATAATAAACTAATCAAACTTGATCATAGAATAGCTCAGTAGTCTTATCTAATAAGTGGTATGATTGAGGACAGACAGGGATCAACTGATCTGAATTCAGAAGATGAGGCTATTCCCTTGAATTTCGATGAAAAACTTTTGGTTAAAGTGTTTGAGTATATGAAATACGAGTATGAAGTAGAGAAGCTGCCTGAACTACCCAGACCATTGCCAACTGACAGGCTTTAGGACTCTATGCCCTAATGGTTTGCTTAGTACATAAATATGCAGAACTTAGAGGAAATTTATGATGTGATAGCAGCAGCGAACTACTTAGATGTGCCTAACCTTGTGGAATTAGGGTGTGCAAAGGTTGGAGCAATGATGAAAAACAAGACTATTCCTGAACTTAGAAAAATGTTCAATATAGTAAATGATTTCACCCCAGAGGAAGAGAGAACCATTCTAGAAGGCAAAGCTGACATTTGGGGAGACGAGGATGATGAGGGAGATGAGAATGAGCAAGCAACTACCATATAAGGCAATCTCAGGAATCGTGGGAATCAGGAAGAGTATAAAATTTCTAAATGATGTTAGATTATTCTCAATTAGGAGTGTCAGAGAAGATTGTGTATTAGCTAGAATGATATGATAATATAATATAGGCTAAAATATTAGATTCCACCAAGGCAATATAGCATATTTGATTCATTAAATTAAAATCATAATCTAATCACTAATCATATTTCTATCAATATCTCTGCTGGCTCAAAGATCTTCTTTGCCATTAGCAGCTGCAGCAGGCTTGGGGGGTGGCTCATGAGGCACCTTAAATGCTTGCTCAATCGCAATTACTGCAGCTTTCTTCTCATAGCTATGTGACTCATCTCTCTTAACTCCCAACTCAGCCAGCAAGTTTCTGATGGCTTTGATGTTGTATCTGCCAACTCTAATAGTATCGACTACTTTGCCTTCCTTAGACAACTCAAACCTTGGCTCACCCTCTATGAAATTAGATTTTTAGCTAGTGTGATAAAATACCTGATAAGTAGATGTCTAGCTTAGGGTACTTGCCGCCATCTTCTTCAAGGAAATACTTGATCTAAATGAAGATAGTTAGCTGTAAATGAGATTACATCAGGAATCTTGTCTAAGGAACAATCCTTCACTGTTCTAAAGACTACTCTGTCGAAACTAAAGTTAGACAGCTCACCATTCGTATCATCGATGTGCGAGGTGCTTACCATTGAGATTCCAAACAGTCCGACAACGAGCAGACTCAAATAGGTTTTGCTGATTCTCATCTATAATTGAACGCGTGTTAGTTTTTGTTAAGTTTATGCTTTAGTAAATTACAAATCTATGTCACTTACCATTCTTAGATTTAATTGATTATTATTATATTTGATCCAACTCGCGATTTTAGACTAACTTTGAGCTTATGGGGTTTTGGGGTTTTGGGGTTTTGGGG